AATATATAAGTAATTAACATTATATTAACTTAATTTCAAAACTTTTGACTTATATTTTCAGGAATGATCAACTCTTGTTGTGTGATTACTTCTCTCATAAACTTTATAACATAGTATCCACACTCCCAACCTTGTAATTGTGTAGGTACCTATAAAACAATAAAAGATGTTATTATCAAAATATGGTAGAAATAAATTCTAATTTAATTTAAAATACTTCAGTGATGAAGTTATATAAATGATATAAGTATTTGCTGTCGAAAATCCAGCAGAGTCTCCCCTATAACTTGGAAGTTCCAGAATTTTCCAAAAATTCTACATCAATCCAGAACAACATATTCAGAATAAAAAACATAAAATATCAATCAAACAATCATTTAGATATGTACCAACTTTTTTTATTAAGAAAATAATACAAAAATTCTGCAATTTTGTATAGGCGTCTAAATCTTGGTATGATTGGAAAATACCACAATACCTTCACTGGGCTACATCCATTTCTTTTGTACCGTGATGCATCACATTTTGGACACTTATCTAAGGTTGAATACTCTTTCTGAAAGAGGACACAATCATTTGGACATGCATGTATCTTCTTATAGCTCATCCCAATAGAACAGGGCACTTTTTTAGCTTCGTAAGTATTAGGTGGAAGCTCGTTGTACTCAGGTAACATTTCATATAAGAGTTCAAGCAAATCCGTGAAACTCTTATCGCTCCATCCATTCGCTGCTTTTAGGTTGTATAGTTTCAAAATAACTGATAGTTTTGTGAATTTTTTACAACCGGGGTATAATGGTTTATCAGCATCACTCTTCAATCTCTCAAACATCTCAGGACAGTCCTAAGATCCTCTTCAATCACATCAATCATTTCATCAAGACGGTCAACATCATATATCCCACTATCACGATCAAATGTTGAGTAGCTCGCATTATCCCTCCAATCACTTGCATTATTCCTTGTCTCCCCATGCATGGTCCAACAAGTATAAGTTGGATCAATCCCATTACATATTAAATGATCTTTCAATTCTATTGGCTTTACTCTTTTTCCATAGCAACATTTCAAACAAGGACATATGACTCCACGGGGGTCTTGATCACGACAAAATGCAAATTCAATGAATTCATCCACACCATCCCAATATTCTCTAGATAGTCGATTAGCCGACATCCACTTACGATCCATATCACTAATATGATTACCAAAATTCAATAAATAAAAGACTTAGATTTCTATAAAAAAATTCAACAGCAACTTCCTTAAAAGAACAACCTCCCAAATGATCAAACAATCAAATTCCACAACACAATACATTTAAACTAAAAAAATCAATTCATCCAAATAAAAATTTAGCAGTACAATGCATCTAAATTCTGTCAATCAATTGTAATTTAATTAATAACAATAATCTCTCTTAAAAGTATATTTCATAAATAAAATAAAAATGTTCAAGTAGATTCCTCAACTTTAATCTAAATTATCAACTACAATATAAATTATCAACTACTCCATAATTTTAATATAAATAACTTCAATTCATATATTATCTATAATATTGATTATTAAAAAAATATTTGAAATCTATTCTCAAATATATAAATTAATTATTAAAAAAAATACCTTCAAAGGTCTTCACGGCAGAAAATGGCAGTATTCACGGCAGCAGCGACGTCGCTTCCTCCACTGTACAGCAGCGACACAGATCTGCAACAGCAATGCAGATCTGGAACAGAGATGTAGATTTGGAACAGTGATTCAGATCTGGAACAGTAGACAACAAACAGCAGACAGTAAATAGCAGAGCTAGAAGGATGGTAGTGGCGGCAGATCGGTGAAAACGGCGACGCAGCATAGCGCAGGAATGGCGACGGACGGTGACGCAGCGCTGGAGACGGCGACGCAGTGCAGGAGACGGCGACTCGACAGCGACGTAATGTGGAACAGCGACGCAGTGCGAAACGTGAAACGGCGACAGAACGCGGAACGGCGATGCAGTGCGGAACGGCAACGTAGCGCGGGATCTGCGACGGACGGTGACGGACGGCGAGCAGCACAGGAGACGCGACGGAGAAAAGAATGGTTTGAAAGAAAGAGAGAGAGGTTTGAAAGAAACTGAATGGAGAAAAGAAACAGATGGGAAAATATAAGAGGTTAGAAGACTCTTTCGAAGCACTCCGAAAGATCGCTCTTCCGGAGCGCTCTTTAATGAGCGCTCTAGAAGAGTCATCTAGAGCGCTCTGGAAGAGTCGTTCTGGAGCACTCCTCCATGAGCGCTCCGGAAGAGCCGAGCTCTCTTCCGGAGCTCTCTTCCGGAGCGCTCTTTAATCAGCGCTCCAAAGAGCTCATCTTCGAGAGCGCTCTGGAACAACGCTCTGCCAAGGTCCATAAGCAATCTTCCGGAGCGCTTAAGTACAAGCGCTCCTGAAGGTATTTTTAAATTTTTTATAACATTTATATATATCAATTAGGAGCGTTATCTTATTGATAAGCCTGACATACAAGAGCGCTTATTTAGAAAAGCGCTCCGGTAAATTCCGCATTCACATTTTAGAGCGCTTATTTAAAAAGCGCTCCTAAAGACCCGCTCCTAAAGATATATTCTATAGTAGTGTCAACTGTAGGAAACGGAAAATCTTATCACATATTCAATGTGTATTCATATACATCCAATTGAAGTATGCATTTATTCCCTAATGGTTTGTGCATTGTATATAAGTTTCATCTAAAATGTGAGTCTTTTAGTAATTATATCACATACGTCTCTTTTGTTTTTTGTTTTTTCCTTTGTCTAGTTCTTAATTTCATCCATACTTACTTTTAGTGAGATAGATTCTCATGAGATGATGAGAGGTAAAAAAAAAAAAAACAGAACTAGGTAGGGGAAAAAGAAGAGGAAAAACTGGAAACTTCGAATATGTAAATTTTATTGAAACCACAAAAATGATATACACTTTTTCATCTTAAAAGATGACAAGTGGTAAATAGAAAGAGAATTACTATTTGCACATTCTACCAACCCCTAGAATTTGAATAATTTGAAAATCACCTTAATTACTGTGGGAAGAGTGAGCATTCTACTAACCCCTGTAATATAATACTTTTTTAGGTTTGAAAGAATTAATTACATTTACACAAATAATTGCATATTTAAATAGTGCATTGCATTGTTTTTTTTTTTTTGCCAATTAAATAGTGCATTGCATAGAGTTTAAGAAATGAACTACATATTTATGTGTTATAAATTGTATGATTATTAGAGTTTTAATATTATCAGTAGAAGATTATATATATTAGTTGGCTCAACAAAGAATATTATATTAATTTTATGTATTTATTTTCAATGATGAAGTACATTTTATTCCTTGATCATCATTAATATAATGGTACACAAATAAATAATATTCCTTTTAAAATATACCAACTTTTGTAAATATTTTTTGAATAAAATCACTTGAAATAGTTTTATAGTTTCACAAAATAAAAGCATCTTATTAAAAACTAAATCATCATCAAATTTTGATACAGTAACATTTATAAACAAATGATAGTTCTATGGCATTTAACTCATAATTCAAGTGATATAATTCGTATTATCAAATGCTTGCTACATTTATAAGAATGGTAATTCTTGTGTCATCTTTTTTTCCCGAAATATTAATCAAATCATAACAAGGATAACAGATCAAGTAACAATAATTTAAATAACATATTTATTGATCCACTAAATTCTCTATTAAACTAATTAACATTTACTTCTATTCTTGTAAGTTTTTCTTTAGAATTATTTTATAGTACTCTTAATGCTAAAACATGTTTCAGTTACAAAAATTATAAAATTAAACAGAATATATTTAGAAAACAAATAACATAACCAAAATGTGAAAAAACCACTAGAAAATCATGGAAAGTAAAGAAAATTAATAATTAAAAAAATCATACTATTTGCTTAAGAAAGTAAGAAAAGAATAAAAATAAATGATAATTATACAAGCAACAACGGGCATTTTGCAGTTTGACATACATGCACAAATCCCTAATATTGAGCCCAATTAGGGTGGGACGATATTGTTAAAATCCTGGCTTATAAAATGAAATCTCACATATCCAAAACAACAGAAAGAATAAATCAAAGAAATTGAGGCAGAGGGATTTAGAGAGAGTGTAGGCATTGAATTAAAGAGGGGTCAATGAGATAAAGTATTGTTAGAAAGGCTCCCAAGTGATTAGTAGAGAAAATAAAGTCGATATTTCTCCCAATCTCTCTTTATCTCATTTGTGAGTTTTTATCCTCTGTTAAGTTTCTTTTGTTTTTTGTTTTTTGGTATGGTAGTTTAATCACTCATCAATTTTTATCAAGTTTTTTTTTTTTGGCCTCAGATGTGATTTATTCAAATTTGAAAATAGGAAAGGGAAGGAGGTCATAATTGCTAGAAATATAAATGATGTGCGATAATCACTTCATGGCTATTTCTTGAGGCTAAAAAACATATATTCTATCATTTATTTGATTATTTTTATGTGTTTGACGTTTATATCTTCTTTTCTTCCTTAGATGTGTTTCTTGGGCTAACTTGAGAGATATTATTTTAAGAGCTATCATTTTTAGTACTCTACTCCTCAATTTTTAACTCAATTTTATTTTCAGTTGTGTGCTAGCCATTGAATGCCCACACAATTTTTTTTTTGCCAATTCATTCAAACTAAGACTGATTTCAAATGCATCTTTTTTTTTTTAACATTTTGAATGCATTTTGTTCTATCTTGAATTGAACAGGTGTAAAAAATATGTGTGATGGCATTTTTATAAATAAGTTGAAGTTTCAGAAGACTTTTTACCTCACTTCTAATTATAACTAGTGTAAAAATTATTGGTGGCATTTTTGTAAATAAGTTAAATTTTTGTTAAACTTTCTACCCCGATTATATTTTAACAAGTGTATAAATAAATTTGCCCTAATTTTTCAATTAGGGCTTTGCCTTTCTTTAGTTTTAGATTGATCTCTCTCGGCAGCATCATTGATCTCACTTTATGTCCAATCAGGATCTTGTACGATCTTGTCATCATGTTCAATCTCGATCACACCACTAGTTTTTCTTGTTCGCCTTTGTGGTCAATCTCAACTTTGCCAATGGTGATTGACGAAAGAGAGATCTGAGGAAGCAAAACGAAGAGGAGGAACAAGATAACCAAATTTGTGAATAAGATGCTCGGAAACTATATGACCATCTATAACCAAAAAGGTTTTAGGATCCCTATCTTAGTATATCTTCCAATTCCTTATTATAATTTTTTTTATCATGTCATTAACTTCTTCACATATTCTATGGGGATTCTAGTTAATCTTTTGGTGGCACGGTTGGAGTGGTGATTGGGAAGCATCTGGCTAAAATATATAGGGAGGAGTATCCATCTTGACTGAGGATTAATATAGGAAAAAGGTAACTCAATATCTCCTCCTTCTCTAGCTTGGTTTTCGCTTTCTTTTATTTTTTGGCCCAAAAACTAGTATGGACTTTGAACGTGGTATTTCTAAGAGAACTAGATTTCACAAACCAAGACATCCTTCTTTCTACAATGCTTGGTTAGAAGATTTACAAAGAGGGGCTTGAGTACTAATTTTTTTTCTTGCTTTCCACCCCTTCGATATCTCTTTATATTCTTTAATAGTCTCTCTATTTCCCCCTATTTTAGGTAATTTATGGAAGTGAAAGCGCTTACTTCTGTTATTATGTTATTTGCTCTTGTTTCGTACTGTCTCTCTTTCTGGAGAAAACCAAGGTATTTCACGATTTGTTGCTTTTCATTTCAATCCTTGAGGCTTCTCATGGAAGTTAAATTTTATTATAAGAAGTGCATTGATTCGATTAACACTTGAACATTGATGGTTTATGAACTATAACAATTCATTATTCGAATCCTTGAGTACATGATTCTCATCAAGATTTATTAGATTTGGATTATTATATTCACTATTACTGTTCATGGTGCTTTAACTTTTTGCCGCCCCTCCTTCCAATTTTTTACCTTTTGAAATTATTTGTGAAATCAAGTGGCTTGAATCTTTTTGAGGTAGGACTTACATGCTCTAGAGTTGTGGTCTTGCAATTTTCTGAGAATAAATGATAAATAAAAGGGAGAATGTTGTCAATGGCCTTAGTTCATTGTCAATAGACCTTATAATAATTAATTTTCTTGTGTAAGACCTATATATAATTCTCCCCTAAATAACATTAGTCATGTAATCACTTCTCCGCATGTATATGAATTCCAACCCCTATAAGCTTAATTATTAAGCCCTTTTCTTTTAAATAAAATCAGTCCCCAAAAAGAAAAGTCTAAAATGTTTCATAAAAATTAAACAAACAAGTGAATCACCATGTGTGATTGCTTCATTGGTCTTTATATATATATATATATATATAAGGTATTTCTGTAAGAAGAGTAAATAATAGAAATTTTTAAAATAAATTGTTTTGAAATTCTCAGACACATACAAAATGTATAAATTATTATATGCTTAAATTTATTTTATATGCATTTTCCCTTGTCATTTAGTGTTTAATTTGTTGTTAATTCCAAATTGGATGATATTCATGTCCAGTTTAATGACTTTGATTTTTCCATCTTACAATTTGTTAGTCTCAAAAAAGAAATGTGATGGAGCTTTCTCATGTCAAAGTTATAGAGTAGCACTTTGATCCGTATTTCTTTGATTGACATCTCTAATCATCAGGGATGACTTCTCCCATCCCTTTCCACGTAATCCTTGGCTTCGAATGTAGTATTTGGAAGTTAATTTGTGGAAATTATCATTATGCTACCCTTCTCTGTTTCCTTCAGTTATAAGAGCAATGTATCTTTTATTCTTGTTCCATGTATTACGCTTTTGAAGCTTTAAGTTTCTTTGTATTTCAGCAATCTTCATGGTCAAGTTATGTGTGGTGGTGAAGATGGTGATATATGGAGTGTTTTGATATGCAAGAAAGATCTTGAATTGGTAGAATTGTTGCTACTAGACCAACTGTGGTTGAACAGGTAGCAGTTTCTCTCTTTTATTATCGCCCATGCAAGTTCAAAGAAAGATGAATGTTCCAAGATACAATAAAATACTTTGTTTTATAATTTCAAATGTGCTGATAAAAAGTGTTTATAAGTCAAATATTGTGTTTGTGCTGATGAGGTTCAAGTTTGCCTTCCCACCAAAATTCATCAATTCTTAGACTTTCATACATATAGATTGTTGCATGAATCAACATGATTCTTCTAAGTTTCCTATGATTTTCATTTCTTTGTTTATTTTGACATTGCCATTATTAATTCCTAATTTCTTTTTGCAATCACATCTTTGATGATGTTCTTCAATAAAATAATCTAAATTGTGGAAAAATGATATGTGATGCTAACATATTGTCATCAAATCAACCTGAAAATAACAACAATCTAGATGATGAAAACTTTGGCCTTGAAGTTTTGAATAGGAATAAATTATCATAATCTATGATTTCTTTCCAAGAAGTTACAAGTATTGAGAGTTTCAGCATTATGGTTAATGGCTGGTTGTTTGACTCAAAACTACTCACTTCAATGCCAAGCACTATGAACTCTATTGTAGTCAAATAATGCCTCATTATGAGAACCTTTTGAACATCAAAACTGTCAATTCATTGTTGCAGTCATTTGTGAGACCATTAATATTACTAATGCCATTAATGCTTGCAAGATCACGAACCCTTTAGTAAATTTTAGTGTGTGGTATAAAAGATTGAAAGGCCTTGAATGGCTCGGCTTGAATATTCATTTCTTGCATGATGGGTTAGAACAACTCAGAGGTTATGAATGAGCATTGCTAGTGCCTAGGTGAGCCTTGTTCATGAGACAAGAGCCATTCTAACCTATCAAGAATGAATTGAACATTCATGTTAAGCCATTCAAGACCTTTCAAACTTTAATTCCACACCAAAATTTACTGAAGGGGTTGTGATCTATTAGGCTTTAATGGCATCAATAATATTAACGGTGTCACAAATGATTCCAACAACTGATTGATGATTTGATGTTCAATAATATTCTCATAAGAAAACATTCTATGACTACAATAGAGTTCATAGTAAATTTGCCTTGAGTTGGTTAGGTAGTTTTGAGTCAAGTCAAGTACCAAACCATTAACCACAATGCTGAAATTCTCAATACTTGTGACTTCTAGGAAAGTGATAAGAGATTCTAATAATCTATTCCCATTCAAAATTTAAAGGCTAACATTTTCATCATCTAGATAGTTGTTATTTTCATGTTGATTTGATGATGGTATGCTAGCATCACATATCATTTTTCCAACATTTGGATTACTTTTTTGAGGAACATCTTCAAAATGAGATTGCAAAATGAAATTAGGAATCAAATATAGGAATGTCAAAATAAACAAAGAAATGAGAATCATAGGAAACTTTGAATCGTGTTGATTCATGCAACCATCTAAATGTAGATGTTTGAGAATTGATGATCTTTGGTAGGAAAGCAAATTTGAACCTCACTAACACAAACATGATATTTGACTTTTAAAGAGTACTTTTCATCATCACATTTGGAATTATAAAATAAAGCATATTATTGTATCCATTAATATTCATCTTTCTTAAACTTGTTTAGGGAACAACAAAAGAGAGAAACCACTACCTAGTCAACATCACTACTTGGTCGTACTTGATCGTTGTCCAGCCGTCATCGTCCATGCCTTCTAGGCCAATCAACGCTCGTAGTCATTGTTATCATACCATTATTGTTCAGCCTTCAGCGACTCCAGATCTGTTCTTGTTGCAACTTCAATTCAAGCCCGTCATCCCTGTGTAAGGATGACTACTTCTCGTTCAGATTGCATATTCACATAGGAGTCTCATCAATCATCTTCGAGTCCCATCTTTGCTATGGTTTGAAAGTTCTTTAAGGATGCAAAAAAGGTACCTTTTACGTATATGGAAACAATTAAAGTATTTGCCCCAGATACTCTGAATTGAATCATTCATATCATTTTCTCTTTATGATTATATGAGCGTAACTCACCGGATTTAACATAAAATTCCTAGAGCTCAAATTTTCAATCATTTTGTTCTTGGAATTAGACTCATTGATTTAGTTTTCTTCTCGCACAGGATTTCATCTTTCGAATTAGATGTATACAAAAAGAATAACTTAAATTGCAACAAGCTTCTTCGCTTAAAAAATAGATCTAGCATCAGAAACTCTGAATGAAATCAATCGTATCCTAATAAGTTAATACTTTTCCATGGGTGAGAATCACGTATTAGTTGTTTGATGAAATGCCTGGCACAAAATTTGTTTTATCGTTGCTCTTTCTTTTTGAGTTCAACGGTTTGATACATAGGGCTTCATCTAGAGAAATTAATATATGAAGAAAATAGGAGCAAGGAAAGATGATCAGTACTTCTAGAAACAACTGCTTTCTCGCATTGATGAGAATGGTTTGCAAGCTGCTCTACTTTTGAATTTTGTGATTCTTGATTCAGTCTATGCTTTCTCATATCAACACAATTTAATCTTCTTTTTGGTTTGATTTTTAAGGTGAAATTTTCTTTCCTTTTCTTCCTACTGCTCCACGGTGCTAATTTTATTTTATTTTTTTCCTTTGAAAGTTGACTTGAATTTTTTTATTATTGAAAAACTATAATCATGACCAATATTAAATTACTAATAAAAAAAAAAGTAAATATCTTCATGTACATGGTATGGAGGAAATTTTAATTTATAAGAAAAAATTCTATGTATATTTGTATCTAATATGAAATGAATGCAACTTTGAAGAAGATTTGCTCATGCATTTTCTTTCTCGTAGATTGATGTATATAGTATGTGCAAGATGGAGATAGGAATGACGGCACGTATAACCATATACTTGCCTGAGAACTACAAAACAAGTTTTAAATTTTAATAATTTTTTTTCTAAACTTAGAAATATGATAATCCATATTCAGGTTTTTTGAGTTAGATCGTTTGCTGGTAAATGGAAGCGTCAAATTTGTAGCAAACAACTATTTTAATATTACATGATTGAGGTTTTTTTGCCATACATATTTGGAGAAGCCGCAGGCACAACCCCTTTACCAAAGTTCTTTCACTTTTTCTTTTTCTTTTTCTTGGCTTTTGCATTTATTCTAGTTAATCAAGCTAATTTCAATTTATCAGATTGCTTTGATGAACTGTGGTCCTTGCTATCATGTGATCGTTTCTCATCATCAATTTATTATCTACATATCATAACAATTTGTGAAACAATTAAAGTAATATCTTGAGCACCGTTTACAATTTTAAAAGTTATGTGATTTGACACACTAGCTAGCTTTTTTGCATGTGAGCAACTAAATTTTGAGTTGTGCAAATTATCTTAATCTTTATATTTTATATTAATATTGATATTTTAATAATTAAGTTGTACTTTTGTTAGAGTCATGATATTCACAATTCACAAGTCATAAATAACGTAGGCTTTCTCAAATTTTATATAAATCTTAAAATTGTAGTGATTTGAACATGATGCTAACCACAATTTGTACTTGATTTCCTGCAGATAAATTCTCAAGAAGCTCTAACTCATTGATATGGAAGCTAGGTTGATACATGATTTATAGAATAAGTACTTGACTTCCTTGAACTGATTTTACTGTGAAAGTCTTGCATGCAAGAAATAAGCTCTAACTCCTTATTTAGGAACAAAACCTTGGGATTCTTTCCCATATTGTGCTTTGTGCATAAAAAGAGAACAAGAATGTTGAGTTTCACTTGTAGACATCTTGATGTAAAACAAGAAGGGGCAAGGGGAACAAAGAGAAGAGAGGTAAAGCGAAAAGAGGGGAAAGGTTGAAACTCTTTGAAACTCTTATTCAATAATACTCAAAAGCTGAATACAAATAAAAAACCTGGCTTTATTTATAAAGCTCTAAAAATAATAAAATAATAATAATTTAAATTCAAATCTCAAATCCTAAATCTAAATATAATCTTAAATATACTGATATCTAAGATAACAATAAAATAAATAACCAAAGGTAATCTAATGGATCAATATCCTTATTTAAATATCTCAATTAGATAACTTTAATATCCTAAATTAAACCTAATTATATTTTATCTCATATTACACCATTTCTCCCCAGCTTGAAGAACTCGACTCCTGATGAGTTAAAATTAAGGCATAAATCTAGGAAGGGAAGGATGGGATAAATTTTAGCGAAGTGCTCAAATATGGAAACCCTTTCCAACAGGTGAGATATTGAAAAAAAAAAAACCAAGCTCTAACAAGAGCAAGCAACTTGATATAGGTGAGTCTAGAAATCCCTTCCAACAAGTTAGGTAGCAAAAGAACAAACTCTAGCAAGGGTGAGTAGTTTGACCATACAAAATCTTTGAAAAACCTTTCCAACAAATAAAGTATTGTTGGATTTGACCATTAAGCAATGGAGTGACCTTAGAAAATTGATCCTTGCTATAAACAATTTGAGAAGGAGCCACTTGTACTTGTTTATAGCGGGAACTTGATTATTGTTTAGAGAATCTACTACTAGCAAGGAAGGAACTTCTGCCATTGTTGGATCGCTTGATGCTTGTTCTTCCATTTGTTTCCTCAACGGATTGATCATCCTCTTAATCTCATATGTTGCCTTTTTAGCTTCACCACAATCCCTCCTAAGCTTGTTAAAATAACAATTCTATTCTTGCTGAAAGCGATCCAGTTTACTATAATTTGGTCTATGTTCTCCTGAAAGTCAACAAGTACTATTCTCATATTGATAAACATAATCATGTTGATAACTATTAAGATGCTTATATTGTCATTGCTCAATGTACTCATGTCAGTATCGATCTTCGTACTCATATCGCTTATGATTAGCATACTCCAACTGGAGATAGCGACGCTCATAATTGTCAAAATAAGTATGCTCATATTATTGATGGCTTGTGTACTCATATCGTTACTCTTCATAACCATACTAATGGCTTTCTTGCCAATAAGTTTCTTGTAATGGATAGGCATATTGTTGTTGATATTCATTATATGTGTACCGTTGAGCATAATCCTTTCGCTGTTGAGCATATTGTGGTAGATTGGCATATTCATACTGATAATCTAAATGTGTGTATATGTTGTAGCTCATTTTGGCAACTAAGCATCATAACCCACAAAAATTCCTTTTCTTCTTTCTTTTTCCTTTTCTCTTTTTTTTTTGGAATACAAAAATTTAGATTGATAAAAAATGAAAAATTGCTCAAAATGCCACAAACATATGAAGAAATTGCAAAGCTTCAAGATCTAATAGTGAACAAATTTGTAAAAGGTGATGAAAGCACTCCAGTCAGTAATGTTGAATAGTGAGTTCGTTATACCTTGCTTGGACCTTCGAATTTTAATGAAAAAGTTATACTTTCTAAATAAGATTGGCAACAAAAGTGTGATGGGAACCTAGTTCTAGTACCAAATTGATGTAAAACGAGAATGGAAAGGGGAACAAAGAGAAGAGAGATAAAGAGAAAGGAGGAGGAGAGAGAGAAAAGAAGGGGGAAAGTTGAAACTCTCTGAAACTCTTATTCAATAATACTCAAAAGCTAAATACAAATGAAAAACTTGGCCCTATTTATAGAGCTTTAAAAATAATAAAATAATAAAAATTCAAATTCAAATTCTAAATTCTAAATCTAAATATAATCTTAAAGATACTAATATCTAAGATAACAATAAAATAAATAATCAAAGGTAATATATTGAATCAATATCCTTATTTAAATATCTTTATTAGATAACTCTAATATTCTAAATTAAATCTAATTATATTTTATCTCATGTTACACCACACCCATTTCTTATTTCTTTACTATTGTGCTTTGATTCATTGTCAAATAGCTTAGAAGTCAGTGGACTTATATATTTGTTTGCAGAAGTTATATATGTGTATCAGGACGCAACTTGAAGGAGGAAGTAGGATGAATGAAACCATTTGAATAAAACTAACCATTTATTAGTGTAATTAAAAGATAACAAATGGTAAATAGAAAGAAAATTAAATAGAAACCCACCTCAATTACTGTGTGTGGAGTGACCATTTTACAAGGCCCTGGAATTAAATACACCTTTTCGGCCTGAATGTGTTAAATATATATAAACAAAAGAATCGCATATTATATTAAACTAGTGCATTGTATTGTAGAGGTTAAGCAATGGACCGCATGCATATAGATATATATATTTTGGTTAATGAACCGCATCCATATTTATTAGTCACAAATAGTAAGATTATTAGAGTTTTTATAGTTTTATCTATATCCTGAAAAACAAGATCATGTTTATTATATTTAATATAATAAGTAATTATATTGTTGCAATAATGCCAAATTTTATTAATATTTTTAATTTTAATTTTTGATATGGTAACATTTATTCATGATAGTTCTATGGCATCCAACTCATAATTCATATGATATAATTCATATAATCTAATGCTTGTCACATTTATGAGAATATAAATTATCCCGTTAAGTTTTTTCGAAACATAAATAGCATATATCCATTGTACCGCTAAATTCTCTATCAAACTAACCAACCACTTAAAACATTAAAGTAGTAATTTTTCTATAATGAATTTGTAGCTTTTTTAAAATTCTAAAACAGGTTTGAGTAACAAAGTTTATTTAAAAATTAAACAAAATATATTTAGAACACAAAAAAAAACCAAAAAGTGAAAAGCTACTAGAAAATCATGAGAAGGAAAATAAAATTAAAATAAATGAAAAGGATGTTCATAAAACCAAACTATTTGAGTAAGGAAGTGAGTAAATAATTAAAAAAAATCAATTGGCAATTATAGAAGTGAAAAAACGAGTATTTTGCAGCGTGACATTTATGCAGGCAATTTTTAATATTTTGCCCAATAGGGGTGGGACCAAATTTTTATGACTTGATATGAAATTTGTGTGACTAGCTATTGAGCTTTTTGTATCATGATTCAGCTAGCAATCAACAAAATTATGCGTTTGTAAGTATGCTATACACAATGCTATATTGATAATATATTCCAAGGATTGATTAAGTTTCCAATCAATAAAATTGTGCTTGTTTATTTTTTTTTCAAACTTCAGTAATGATGGCATGTTGTAGGGTCCTTCTAATTGTGTTTCAAAATAATTATCAAACTCATTTGAGAAAGAGAATTTTGTATTGATTATGTATAAAGATTTTCAAAGGTATATTAAATAATGTCTTTTCATTTCTAGTAAATAACAATCCTTTAATTTGTAATCTCTACCATTCTTTTGGATTTTTTTTTAGAATGTTGATATTTGTCATGTTGATTTTCTTTTGTTCCTTGGGTAAAAGTGCAAATTTAGCTATGAAATATTTTCCAATGTGCACTAGATAGCTTACACTATTGAGTAGTACAAAATAAATTATCAACTATTTAAAATAAAGTGCCTAGCATCTACCATTAATTTTGACCAAACGGATGTTAATTTCTTTATGGGGTCTATGCAAATTTCACTGCACCTTTTCCCTCTCTCCAGATCTCATCTTCTCTCTCTAACCCTCTCTCCAAATCTCATCATTCCAATTGAAGATTGTGGGTACCATTTGACTACAAATTAAATTCCCCAGTTGAAAGATTAGGAAACCAAATGTGAATCACAGAACAAAAACCAAATGTAACATAGGGACCAGACTAGTAATGGGTTTCACAACCTTTCAAAAAATAGACGAAAAAAGGAAAACTCAATGAGATGAAGATTATATTCCAAGAAGAAGAAAAGACCAGAAATGAAATAGTCTAAAAGTTAGGATGAATTACAAAGGATTGCCATTAAAGTAATGGAGAATTGGGAATTAGAGTACTGGCCATATAGAATAACCTATGAATAAATCGAATCAACAACAAAAGGATTCTCCAAAGCAAATGTGATCGAAATTGGCGGAAGAGAGTTGGTGAAGAACAATTGAGAAAATATTATGGAGTTGACAAGAAAGAGATTTTGTGTGCAAGAGAATTTCCACTAGAGCAGTGGGTGCTGATGAAGCAAGCGGTAACAATGATGAGGATGGACATGCCATTGGGGCAGTGAAACGCAAAGGAGTGGCAGACTGGAGAAAGTACTTCTCTTAGGAGGCTTCAGTGTCGTATAAAGAGGAGGAGAGAAAGTTGTGGTGGGTATGGAAATGGTGGGGAGGATTGTCGGAAAGAAGAGGATAGTTGAGGGTAAAGGGGAAGACAAGGATGAGAGCGATGACGAGAGTAGTAGGCCAAGAAGCCATAGATGGATTGAGGGAGAGTGGCAGGCAGAGAAGATGAGATTGTTAAATGAGTGCGTTGCCACAATAAAAATAAATAATGGACGTTTGTTCATATTAGACGGAGGATGCTGGATACTAAGTTGAAATAGTTGATAATTTATTTTGGACCATCCTATAATATGAATCACCCAATGCTCCTTGAAAAATAGTATATAACTAAATTTACACCTTTACCTTTGTTCTTTTTAGTTATTTCAATTTTTTAGACCCTTATAAAATGAATCTCAGTGAAAGTTTTAGTAAATGCACCTTTTGTCTAATATTGTCAAGTCTATTTTCATTCACAATAAACAAAATGAAACTCAGTGAAAGATTTGGTTAAATATATAATAAAAAAATAGAATTTTTGTCTGTGATTTTGGGCAAAAGAATTAGGCAGAATGGTTTAATAAACAAATGATGAAAGTAAATATTTTTTGTCTCTTTCTTGTCAGAGATTCAAATAGTGGATGAATATTATTTCTGCATTTGTATTGGTATAAGGGAAGATGAAGAACACAATTAGGAAGCCTGGCCAAATATAGGATACAAACAACCAAGAAGAAAGGGATCCACATTAATATATGTTAAATGCTGCATATTGATTCCTAGCTATAAATCTCAAAATAATTCTCTAGGATTATGCTCAAAAATTGAGGGTAGAGAGTGGAATGATTTAAAAAATTGTAGGATATAAATTAATTAAGGGTTAAAGGCGTTGGAAGTGTCAGCAGTAGTAGTAGGAATAGGCCTGATTTTAGCGGCGAAAATGGTGGCAAAATGGGTCAAAATGCCTTATTGTCACTATGTATGAGACCTGCAACTATTTCATGTCAGTAGTAATGAAAAAGATGGTTGATAATTTGATGCAAGGGTGATTGAAAAAATTGCTTATGGCCTTTAGTATAAGATATCCAGCACTCTTCAAAAAAAGTTTAGCGACAAAAATGGACATCAGCCCGTTAATTAAAAACATTTTATTGGCATGTGTGAGTTATGTAATTTCATTTTGAAATAATATATCTTTTAATCCCTAAACTTTCATTCAATTATTGATTAGTCCATGAACATTTACTTGATACAACTCATTCCAAAATTTAAAATTTCCCTTTTATTTTATAAAACAATAACAAATAGCATCAGATATATTATATTAATACTAAGAGGATTCTATACTTATCATGATTTAATTAAATAATATGAACCTAAGATGTAAAAAATTGTATCTAGTGCTAAAAGGTATCACTGATTAAGTTACAACAAATTCTGAAATTAAAATATATGTGATATAGGTATACAGCATAAAAAAGTTGTTTTAATTGATGCATTGAAAGGAAAAGGATAAAAAAGAAAAGAAAAGAAAAGAGGAAGTGATTAATAAAAATATAAAAAAATTTACATGAAAAGAAAATAGAACTCTTCAACTATAGGAAACGGAAAATCTTGTCACATATCCAATGTATACATCCAATTGAAGTATGCATTTATTTCCTAATGATTTGTGCATTGTGTATAAAATTCACCCAAAACTTGAGTCTTTTAGTAATTATACCACATACCTTTCATTCTTTTGTTTTTTGTTTTCCTTTTTTTAGTTCTTAATTTCATCCACACTTGCTTTTAGTGAGATTCTCATGAGATGATGAGAGGTAAACAAAACAAAACCAAGTGGGGGCAAAAGAAGATGAAAAATGGAAACTTTGAATATATAAATTTTATTGAAACCACAAAAATGATATATACATTTTCATCTTAAAATATGACAAGAGTAAATAGAAAGAGAATTACTATTTATGGAGTGAGCGTTCTACCAATCCCTAAAGTTTGAATAATTAGAAAATCACCTTAATCACTATGGGCACAGTGAGCATTCTACCAAACCCTACAATTTAATATTTTTGTCTTGAAAGAATTAAATACATTTAAACAAAGAATTGCATATTTAAATAGTGCATTGCATAGAATTTAAGAAATGAACCACATATCTATGAGTCAAAAATTGTATGCCTATTAGAGTTTTTATATTTATTGTAGAAGATTATATATATTAGTAGGCCCAACAAATAATATTATATTAATTATATTTATTTTCAATGATGAAGTACATTTTATTTCGTAATCATCATTAATATAATGATGCACAAATAAATACTATTGCTTTAAAAATATACCAAATTTTGTAAATATTTGTAATAAAATCAATTAAATTAATTATATAGCTTCACAATATAAAAACATCTTATTAAAAAGTAGATCATCAACAAATTTTGATACAGTAACATTTATAAACAAATGATAGTTCTATGGCATTCAACTCATAATTCAAGTGATATGATTCGTATAATCTAATGCTTGCTACATTTATAAGAATGAAAATTCTTGTGTTATCTTTTTCTCAAAACATTAATCAAATCATAACAAGGATAACAAATTAGGTAACAATAATTTAAATTACATATTCGGTGAACCGCTAGATTCTCTGTTAAACTAATCAACACTTACTTCTATTCTTTCTAGTTTGAGTTAAAAAAATAAAATTAAACAGAGTATATTTATCACACAAATAACGTAACCAAAGAGTGAAAAACTAATAGAAAATCATGAGAATGAAAAGAAAAATAATAAATAGAAAGGATGGTTAGAAGTCAAAATATTCGCTTATGAAAGAAATGAAAGAATAAAACATAAATGGTAATTATATAAGCAATAATGGGCATTTTGCAATTTGACATATATGCACGCAATCCCTAATATTGAGCCTGTTTAGGGTGGGACGATTTGTTAAAATCTTGGTTTATAAATACAACTGTCACATACCCAGAATGAAATAATCAAAGAAATTGAGGGAGAGAGATTTAGAGTGAGTCTATGCATTTAATTAAAGAGAGGGTCAATGAGATGAAGTATTGTTAGAAAGACTCCCTAGTGATTAGTAGAGAAACAAAAGTTGGTGGAATTGGGAAAATTTCCCAACATCTCTCTTCTCATTTGTGAGTTTTTCCCTCTGTTAAGTTTATATTTTTTAGGGGCAATGGCATTAAGGGCCCTAAAAATAAAATTTATTTCACTTAGGGCCTAAATGAATCTGAAATTTCTCTGCAGGCCTTAAGGCCTCAAGTGCAATTTTTTTTCAGAGTGAAAATACTTTTTTGCCCTTAATGGACAAGAATGAAATCCAACGTAGAGAAAGAATGACAAACGCGGGGAAGGGTATTCAGCTGGAGAATGGGAAGGTTTCTGAACTCTAATGGAGAGGAATAACTTTCAAGGTGCGTAGACTTTAAAATCTCTCCATTTTAAGCAGTGCTTTGATGATTTAATGGTCTGAGGTGGAGGTTTCCTGGTTTCTGACGGTGTTGTAGAAGAAATGAGCTACAATTTTTACTGTTTTTGCTGTAGAAATGAGAGGCATCCATTATTGTTGCATAAATCATTTAAGGGTAGAAATAATTTAAGGTTTTCCATTACTGCATGTGAGTTACTGGTGAAGTGGTGACAAAGATGATCTTCACTCATTTCATATGTAGTGGTTCATTTAATGGAAGCATTTGAGGGGGGTTTTACATGAGATAGTAGAGTGCATATGAGATGGATTTTTTATTGTACAAAGTTAAATGTGATATTGTTGAAATTGGAATTTTTTTTGTGATTCTACTGCTAATATAAGGTAAAGGTTGCTGAACCATTTTGGCCGTGAAAGTTTTAGAGTGGGTTAGTTGTTGCACAATGATGATGGTTGACTTATTTATATTGGAGTTTTACATGTAAACTGAATGAAATATGATCCAATATGAAAAAAATATTTCACCAAAAATTTTGGAGTATTTATTGTGCAAAAATGAACTTTGAGCTGTTTTTTTTTGGGCATTGAGATATGCATTATGTTAAGCGTAGTCTAATAATAAATTGGAATCACATGACGTTCAGGTGAGACTATATGAACTTCATGTTGTACATAGTGGATATTATGTTGTGCCTTGTTTGCTTACCTTGATCATTCCTTTTGTTAAGCCTAGCTTAATGATAAATTGGAATAACATGGACTTTCATGTGAGAATAAATGAACCTTATATTGTGCATAGTGGATATTGTGTTATACATGATTTGCCTACTTGTGCAATTTATTAAGGAAGCCTAAGCTACTAATATAAGCTAAAGGTTATTGAATGATTAAGTTGGTTCAAGTAAGAATATATGAACTCTATGTTGTGCATAGTAGATATTATGTTGTGCCATATTTATCTAACTTGAGCATTCCATTGAAGCTTAGCTTAATGATAAACTTAAATAACATGAACTTTTAGGTGAGAATATATATACAATATCTATGGTTGACCTGTTAATATTGAATTTTGACATGTGAATTGAATACAATAGCACTCCTAATGTAAAGAAAATTTGCTGTCAAAGACATTAGAGTATCTGTTGTGTGAAAATGAACTTTGAGTTGTTTATGTTGAACTTTGTGTTGTGTAAAATAAAAGTTGGGCTTCTGTATGTGAACATTTATGTAGATTAATTTCTTCTTTGCAGGTTAATATAAGAGATAGAAAGTAGTTCAAGAGAAAAATTATTTTGTTTCTTCCACTATGGCGGTGAATTTGTGAGGAGTGCTGATAGTGATATGAAGTATGAGGGTGGAAATGTAATTGCAAGAACCATAACAAAATGAATGAAATATACAGAGCTAAGATCATTTATATCTTCAGAAGTTTGCCATGGTGATAATGGAAATGACGTAAAGTTCACTGTTGAGATTGATTTAAGCACATGCATAGATCTCCTTGATGATGTTAGAGTTGAATAATTGTTTGAATACAATGGAAGAACTGCTCATGTGTATGTTGTTAGACGGGTTGTACTTGAAGATGATCCTGAAGAGTAAGTACTGACATTCATGTCATTTGGGTCAAAAATGCATTGTCAAGAACATTGGATTATATAATGTGCAAACATGAATATTTACTTGTTTATATTAAATAGTTAGTCGTTTAAAATATAATTTATTAATACAAAGCACTAATAATGTGGTAACTTTTATAAATGCAGGATAGACCAGTTTTTACCATTTTCATATGGAAGTTCGTGATCTCCAGAGCATTAGGATATTGATTTGGAAGGCTTCAGCTTACACAACTCTAGAAGAGGCATTCCAACAGAAAGTGGAGAAGATAATTTAGCTATCCAATGCATTTCTACCCCTATTCCAGAGATAAATGCTAGCAAGTGGAAGGATTTGCTTATTGGATTAGGACAAACATTTACTCATGCTGTGGCATTTAAGAAGGCATTATACAAGTATAGCCTAGCGCACAAGTTCGGATATAAATTTTTGAAGAACAAACCAGGTCAAGTTATTGTGAAGTGTGCAATTGAGGGATGTCCATGGTATATTGAAGCATACAAGTTTGGTGGAAAAGATAATAGTTTCTTATGTATAAGAACTTTTAAGGATCAACATCTTCATTTTGCACAAGATAATCTTGATGTTGCCCATAAAAGTGTATCAACACTAACGTCATCCATAATAATTGATGAGTTGAGGGCTTCCATAAGCAAGTCTCCTAATGATATTAGACGAGACATCTATAGGGAGTATGGTTTGAAACTTAGTTATTATCAAGCATATAGAGGTAAGGAGAAAGCTTTGGCTGAAATATATGGTCAATCGGATGAATCATATATGTTAATTCCTTGGATATGTCAAAGGCTAATTGAAAGTGATCCGACCACAGTTGCAAAATGGATAGTTGGGCCGTGCAATAGATTTCAATGTTTATTCGTTGCATATGGATGTAGCATAAAAGGTTTCATGGAAGGTGCTCGACCCATTCTATATATAGATGGGTCTTTCTTGAGTGGACCATATAAGGGAACTCTACTATCAGCATGTGTATATAATGTAGATAATAAGATGTTTCCTGTGGCATATGCCATAGTAGGTGGTGAGATAGTTGAGGAGTGGTCATGGTTTCTTCAAAATATTAAGAACATAATAGAATCGCGAGAGATAGCACTAGTGTCTAACAGACATAATTCAATCATTAGGGCTATACAAGCAATATATGGTTATGACAGGCATGCTTTTTGTTACCGTCAAGTGAAAGAAAATTTTGGGTTAGAGTTTTTAAAAGTCACAAGAGGTAAGAGAAAGAATGGAGTGACAAAAGATGCAGCATTCAAGCTCCTGGATGCAATAGCTTATGCAAGACTCCCTAGTAAGTTCAATATTGCAATGTCAAATATGATGAATTTTTGTCTAGATTTATTACAATGGCTTGAAACACACAATGACATAGATAGATGGGCACTTACCAAGTTTCCCCATAGGAGGTGGGATAACATAACAACTAACATTGCTGAGTCCTTTAATTCTTGGGTTGTTAAGGAAAGGAAATATAATATTGTTGTTTTTATGTATAAGCATAGGGAGAAATTAGCAAAGAAGCTGCATAACAGCAAAGTGGCACTAGAAAAATGGACAAATAGTGTTGGAGTAAATGTGGAAACAAAGCTAAAGGAAAATGTGTTAAGAGGTGATACATTGCAAGCTGATTTTTATGCACTGAACTCTGTTAGGGTGAAAACATTAAATGTAGATGTGCGAGTAAATCTTGAATTACGTGAATGCTCTTGCATGGCATGGCAGATGTCTGGACTACCATGTCCTCGTGTATGTTCTGCCATAAAGCTTTCACATGGAAATATATATCAATATGTTGAGGAATGGTATCATTTAAGTTGTCAAGAAAAAATCTATGGTAGTAATATGATCCCGATTAAGACTTTTGATATTCCAAAGCCTGATACAACAACATTAATAAATAACTTATCACAAACTTTCTTGCAGCCGCCTTTAACCAGCCATCCTCCTGGGAGGCTAAGAACAAGGAGGATAGAGTCTCAATTCCAATATAAAAAGATTTATCATTGTTCAAGATGTGGGGAGGCTGGACACAGTCGCAAGACATGCAAGAATCCTAACCCATCATAACAAGTAGTTACATTATACTTCTTTAGTGTGCATAAGTAGCTATAATTATGTATATGAAAGCATTCTCAATTAATATTTTTTTGGGTAATTGGGAATGACATATATTTTTTGTTTGTATATAGAGAAGCAATTGTTAGATGTTTTGCATACAGTGGATAACTTTTTATGTATGTCAAACTTGAAATATGATATCAAATTTCATGTGGCTAATACCAACATGAAAATGCCAACATGAAATTTCATGTATGGACTTTTCATTGTCCATCCACGGACAGTGTCTTGTGTATACTGGGTGGTCTTCAGTGTATGGTCTGTGTAGCCATTTCAGCAACAGAATTTCTCAAAATGCATGGACTTTTCATTGTACATACATGGCCATCGTATAGTTTATAGTGGTATTCTACCGTGCATAGTCTGCATAACTTGTCATTTTCTCCAAGCTAGTGAATTATTAGAAAATCATGGATTTTTAGTTATGCATGTATGGACATGGTCTTGTGCATAGTGGGTCTTCTACCATGCATGGTCTGCATAACCTGTCATTTTCTCTAGGGTAGTGAATTTTTGAAAAATCATGGATTTTTAGTTGTGCATGTATTGATATGATCTTATGCATAGTGGGTCTTCTGCCGTGCATGGTCTGCATAACCTATCATTTTCTCTAGGCTAATGAATTTATGAAAAAATCATGAATTTTTAGTTGTGCATAGTAGATGTTCTGTCGTGCGTGCTTTGCGCAGCCATTTCAGTCAATATGGTCAACATTCATGGATTTATAGTTGTGCATGTATGGACATTGTCTTATGTATAGTGGGTGTTTTGTCATCATGGTTTGCATAGCAATTTCAGCCAAAGAAGGTAACTGAATTACTTAGAACTCATGGATTTTTAGTTGTGCATGCATGGACATCGTCTTGTGCACACGGGGTGTTGTCCTATACATAATGGAAAGGTTGAGACTGTAGCTTTCATTTTCTTTTTGTGCAAAAATATACATAATTCCATTTACAAACAAAAACTATTTCTAAATTACAAAAAAAATCTTCGAATATGTACACAATCCTTGTCGAAGAACCTAATTCTACAATCCTACATTTGTCTTTTCATGTGCTTTTTTCTACAAGTAAAAGTGGACGTTCACGGATGACATTATTGGGATGCTCCACCAGCCAGCATGATATGTCACACCTCATCTCCGATAGTTCTTGTGTTATGTATTTAGGCATGGTAAATGAAAGATGATCAATGTTGACAGTATTGTTCCAAAATTTGAGCCACATAATAAGATGAATTCCACAATCATCACTACACAACAAAGGCAATAGAGTAAGATATGAATGAAGGCAATAGTGAAAAAGATTATAACATTATATTAGCATAACTTACTTGTTCTCTTGCTTGAAGACCTGCGGATAGAGTATGTCATTACTGTACTCGACCTGAGATAATTTTGGCTTCACCTTGAGCAAAATTGATCTGAAATACTCCCTCTATAAAGGTAAATGGTCAGCCAACAAACACTAAAAGGGTGACAAATTTAGAAGTAAGTGTTCATAATTTAAAGTGTACAATATTTGCACCCATCATTATTTAGCCCTTGTACACTAGATCCTTTAGGCTTTTTTTACCAACCTCCCTTTCCCTTTTCTTCCTACTTTTCTCATATCTTCCTCCTTAGCCTCTAATTGCTCATGATCAACCATAGAATCAAGAATATAAAATTTCATTGTCTTTGGTTCTAGGACAAAGCAGAACTAATGGTTTCTAAATACCGTAGGCCCAAATATGAAATCACAGTTACTTAAGTTATATCCCAAATGCTCGGGGATAATATGCTTTACATTCTCACCTATATTCCACCGTGATGGATTATTTGTCATCCTAGCCATGAATTCAGCATCAAAAATATGACGCGTGACATGAGATGACTGCTGCTCCTGATCACCTACAAGAGTCCTATTGACTATAGTAATTACCTATATGGACATATATGGACATTTAGTTGTTCATTTATGAACATGCCATTGTACATATATGGACTTTCATTGTTAAATATAGGTTTGAAATTTTTTTACCCGATTGCTTATCCATTATGCTGGTCTAAGAGAACATAGCTCACTCCGTGTAACATAGTAGTCGTACATTTGGATAAATATCTCGTGGCATCCAACCAAAACAAATAGTTATGATGCTTTGTAGTAAGGAACATTTTTTTTCAATTTCTTATGACAATAATTTTTCACTTACTCTCCATCATCCTTGTTGTACACCAATCTGTGCACAATCTGTATAGCCGTTGCTTGTCACTAACTTTTCTCTTCTTTTGGGTAACAAGTGGTGTCCACAGAGATTTAACAACAGCCTTCTTCTTCCTCTTAGATCTCCTCACTAAAAGTTTCCCTTTCTCTTCAGCAGCCACTTTGTGTTCAGATGCATCCATGTCTGATTTCTCTGCTTCTTCTACCACTTGATCTCTATCTTTCTCTTTTTCCTCCCCACCTTCTTGCTCGTCAACTTTTGTGTTTTCTAGATCCTCTACCTCTGCTTGTTCTTCTGTCTCTTGTCTACATCACCCTCATCCTTATCATATTCCCCCTCCTCACCCCCTTGTCGTCCTTGTCATTCTCACCTACCTCATCTTCATCCTCTTCCTCTTCCTCTTCTATGACAACCTTCTTTGATTGCAACTCTAGCAGCTCATTAGCCATGTAAGACATGACTCTCTCTTGTACTTCCTTCATTTCCTACAAAACATGAAATATGCACTTATTCACAATAATATGTTCTTGTTTCACAATGAAATGTTCACAAATTAACATTAGCAAAACAGACCTTCTCCATGTAAGCCTTCACTCTTACATACACATCCTTCGTGTCCTGCACATCAAAAGATTTACTTGTTCTGAACTTAAGGTTCACTTACTCATAACTAAGGGATCCAAAAATACTATTGGGTTAAAAGTATACACACCTTGTCATGAAAGGCAATAATTGGAGGCAGTTGCGTTAAGGCACTAAGGTTGGTATCAAGGTGGGCTGGTACTTTAGTGTACAATAAGCCATGGCAGCTCTGCCACTAAACCTTCACCATTTCATTAACCTTTTCTTTAGTCCAATACCCTATTGCTTCACTAGCTGGGGGTACAGCTTTGTTCAGAGGAAAATTTTAGAGATAGAAAATCTAAAACATCAATTCAATGTAAGGATAGTTGTAACAACTAAGGTTTATGAGAATAGCAAAAATAACTTAGCTTACTAATAAGAAGTAGAGGCATCCTTTAATATATTTGGTTCCCTTTAACTTTCCCTTCTTGACATGCTCCTTGTAGAGCTAAATCTCCCGATTCAACTCCTCCAACACAAAAGTAGCCCAATCAAAATCAGACCATGCATCATTCATACATGCCAACACCTTCAACACCTTATCAGTAACTCAAGGACTTCCACCAAGACACAAAAGAGTTCCAAGTGTGAACAATAAAAAAAGAAACTCAAACATGTCATTCTCATCATTAAAAGTGATCTTGTTCTTTAAGTCATTTAATGACATTGATGTATAATCACTCTTCAATTCTACTACCAACTCATTATTAACATTCAACTCTACTACCCTTGTAGTATTAGGTAGCCCCATAATAGCCTGTAGGTCCCCTGCTCTCAGTAATACCGTTTTCCCCCTTATTGTCATTTTCTGAGTCAGGGGATCATAAGATCGCATGATCTCATGGCACATCTCTCTTAGGATTTTCAAGCCTTCAATATTCAACAACTTAAAAAACCCAATTGCCTCAACTTTCTCTTTTAAATGGCCATTCTCTTTTATGAACTCAGCAATTTCTTTAAATTTTGCTGGAGAGCATCGAGTGTGGAAAGGAATGTCATATTTTTTATGCATTTTCACCTCTCTATTTTCAGTTGCCTTCATTCTATACGGCTCCCTCTCCTCTATGCTCATTTCTTTCCATATCTCAGCTATAGCCTCATTTGAATCGCTTACCTTTTTGTACTTGCCTTTATTGATCTCCAAAAATTCTCTTCTAAAATCATGCCATCCCGTAGTTGATATCGGCTTTTGTGGTTTGTTGGAAGCCATTTTATGCTTAGCACCTGCACAAATTATCTATGATTAGTAGAAGAGAAAATAATCAAGGATAGCAAAATAAATCAAGAACAGTGGATTTACTAATAGTGACCTAATAGTGACATAATTTCAGAACCAAAACGAAATAAGAAAAATATAAACACAGATTCAGTCCTCATTCATGCACAACTACAAATCCTTGAATGTTGAGTAATTCAGTTACCATATTAGTTGAAATGGCTACGTAGACCATACACGGCAGAAGACCCACTATGCACAAGACCATGTCCATGGATGCACAACTAAAAATCCATGATTTTCCAGTAATTCACTATCCTGGAGAAAATGATAGGTTGTGCAAACCATACACGCCAGAAGACCCACTATGCACAAGACCATATCCATGGAAGCACAACTAAAAATCCATGATTTCTCAAAAATTCACTAGCCTGGAGAAAATGACAGGTTATGCAAACCATGCACGGTAGAACACTCACTATGCACAAGACCATGTGCATGGATGCATAACTAAAAATTCATGATTTTTCAGTAATTCACTATCCTGGAGAAAATAATAAGTTGTGCAGACCATGTACGGCAGAAGACCCACTATGCATAAGACCATGTCCATGGATGCACAACTAAAAATTCATGATTTCCCAGAAATTCACTAGCCTGGAGAAAATGACAGGTTATGCAGACCATGCACGGCAGAACACCCACTATGCACAAGACCATGTACATAGATGCACAACTAAAAATCTATGATTTTCTAAAATTTACTAGCCTGGAGAAAATGACAGGTTATGCAGATCATACATAGAAAAAAAACTACCATGCATAAGACCATGTCTATGGATGCCTAACTAAAAATCCATGATTTTTCATAAATTCACTAGCCTGGAGAAAATGACAGGTT